TCGGGTGAAATGTCCTACAGCTTTTAGGGGTGAAATATCGCAGAGTTGTGCTAAGTAACTAGATGAATGTTAATCTAGTTTTTGAAGGTAACCACTCCACTTTATTACAGTATCTTTTTTCTTGAAAAAAATCCGTTGTCATTGTCATCCAGTTCATTTTCTAATGCACAAAGTTTGTTTTCGAAAATCGTCTATGGGATTCTTCTCTGCATCAAAAAAGATGATTAGTGAAGAAATTGGTTCAGATTACAAATAGAATGTGAGTGAATAGGTCTGTAGTTTGGTAACAACAAACGACAAACCTTAGCATATCGCGAGGTTTTTATCCACACTGAAGCGAGCTGGAGGCAAAAGGTTACAAAAATGGAAACACTCGAGAATTTAAGACACCTTCCTTCTTTCCCAGTGTTTCCTTTTCGGCCATAAGGAGAGAATCTTTTAATTTTTCTTGTAGCGCATAAGATGATTAGGATCAGTATTTATTCCTATGAGTTTTTGCGGACTTGCTGACAGTCCATGTAATGTACATCCGTTTCTAGGAATGGGAAGACAAAGTGATAGCAAGCGGGTGTGTAGATATGGAACCCCGCCATCCTCCTCATCAAGTTGCTCCTCCTCCAATGCGCGGGCATGTAATGCCTCCACGAATGGGTACAGTGGGTGGAGTTACACAAGTTCGCCTGCAAACTGCTCCGCCGGTTTGTTTCTACCAATAACTATTCATAGATGTTCAAATGTATAGTTCCAGATGGTATCGCAGTCACATTCGGGCATGATGAACCACATAGAACATAGTAGACCAATGCAAATGCAATACGTACCTCAACAAGGCATGCAGCAGATACAGGTTCAGGTCTGTCGCCATTCGTCTAATATGGAAAAACAAATGCGTGAATGAGCTGTCAGTTGTTTTTAGTATGATTATAATGCTATTGATCATTCACAGTTGTCAGTATCGCTTCCTTGATTTACGCTGCAGCATGAGAGCAATTTAAAACTTCTACTCTGCATGGATCGCTTGTATAAACAGAAGCTTTTTTTCGATTGGAAGCCTTTGTAGTTTTACTTAGAGTTAACTTGAAATGTGTTTACGGAGATCATGTCCCGCGGGAAAGGATATGTGATTACTCATATTAAGCCGCTAAATTTCAACAAAGTGGGAAGGGCTTTCTTGTTTTTGTGTTGAGGTTTAATCTGGTTTGCGGTGATGATATGTGAGGGTCAAATCTATAGCAGTAAATTGTGATAAGCCGATTGCTATATAATTTTATAGGCCCGCGATTAACTCACTAGTTTAACTTTGTGGCTAGAGGTTTTCCCTAAATTTATGACTGTACACTCGATCAAATCTTGATTCAGCCTTTCATAGCAATGCCTTAGTCAAAGTATTTAGCGGTCCAATTCTCTTCTAGGAACAGATCATACACAGCTCTCCACCATAGCTTTAGTTAACTTCAAGTCTACATACTGCGGTTGCGAGGAATAATCTATAGCGCATGGAAGCGACTTTATATCAGCATGCTGTTAAATCTTCTTGTGGCGGGCAACGATATGGCGGAATTTGCAGTTTGAGAAAGTGTCACGTCTGCAGTCTGATGGTCTTGCTAAGATTTCTTTGAACAAAAACTAGTGAAAAGTTAGTATAAAGCTACAGTTCAACCCACTGTTCTCAACATTGTCCCTTTGTTGCTCAGACTTTCATTACCTTATGGAGCGTTTGGAACATAACCGTCAAAATTGGAATGAATCTCTTTGTAAGCCAACGTTTGAATCGAGCATGTCTATAAGATGCTTGTCGTCGTTGTCCAAAATTCCTCCACGTAAAGCGTGAATGGGCATTTTTTTCCATTTTTTCCAATTCTGGGCTTGATTTGAGAAAGCAGCTCCTGATGGGGAAAAGCGTATTGGTCTTTGTAAATCTCATTTCTTCAACATCGCAATTCATGTTTCTAAGGCAGCATCCAATCCTGAATGATTGTATGCGTATAATAACTGTGTCGATAGAAGTCTGCTCAACATCAGTATTGCGAATGCCCTTATAATTCCATCCTCAGCATTGCCATTTTTAACCATCTATCAGTAACAAGCTGTTTACGGGCATATTCCTCTCATTGATATCTTTTAAAATAATATTTCACAAGTCGATCGTCTGCTATATGTAACTTCAGCAAGTTCAACAAGGAGCAATGCCTGCTAATGTGACGTTTGCTCCTCAAGGTAGCGTTCGAATGGTACAGACTATTCAGCCACAGCCTGGCCA